AAGCGTTATCGCTTATTCCTCTTAATATTTAACAATTGCAGGTGTTGAGTATTCCAATATAGCTTTATAGTACTGAAAGATTTAGAATAGTTAATAGTATTTCTCTGTATTTTTAATGTTCATGTATGTCTATGAATAGTAGATTTCTGGGTAGACATGAAATGTAATAAAACTTAGTCGGTTTGTATCCAATCCTTTGTAATCACTTTATCAATATAAAATATTGTTTTATATATATGCATGTAGCATGTTTTGAGGAAGTAACTTAAGAAATCTTTTGAAATAGTATGAAAGTTTGGGTCTTTCATAAATACGAAAGTTGGGGTCTTTCATAACTTCTTTTGGATAACCACAGACACATTTGCATTGGCTTGAATCTTTTTATTTTCCTTGAATTTCCTCTTCTTGGTTCACAAATCCTTGAGAAATTTTGCATAACTTGGAATTTACTTATTAACATTCAATAGTGGAATGTTGATTTGGACCTTGCGGAAAGTTTCAAATAATTCATTTTCTTCCTCTTCTTTCCTTGAGGCGGCTAACCGGGAAGGGAAGGGTGGTGGTATGACCAATGGCTTTATGGTCTTGTTGGAAGATTCGGGTTAACCAATGTTTGGAACAACCGGTTCCTTTAGATTTAGTACTTTTGAAGGTTCAACAACGATGACTTCATCTTCTTCTTCTCTTGAAACTCTTTTAGGGTTTCTTTCTCCAAGTGTTTTTACACTTCTCAAAGTTATTGCACTCACATTGGGGTTCTTCTCAGTTTGAGATAGAAGTTTGCCCCTTTGTTCCATCTTGTTGAGAGCGCTGGCCAACTCTCCAATTTATGCTTGAATGTTTGAGAAGGTATTCTTGGTCTCTTGTTGAAATTGGCTTTGGCTTTGAGCAAGAGAAGTAACGAGTTCTTGAAGGCTCATTTGATGGTTACCACTTGATTGGCCTTTTTATGGAGGTTGTTGGTAATTTGTAGGGTGAAAAGAAGTTTGTGGATATGGAGGTTTTTGGGAGGGGTATTGTGGATGTTGAGGTCTCATCAAAATGTTTGGTGGATTTTGATTTGGAGGGTATGGGTTGTTTGGGTTATTCCTCCAGTTTGAGTTGAAATTGTTTTGAAATCCCATGGGTCTTGGTTGACCTTGATACCCTCCCATTGCATTCACATCTTCCGGTTCACTTCCAAGTGTGGAACATTTATCCGTATAATGCCACATCATTGCACAAATGCCACACACCATCAATTGTTGACCACTTCCCACCACCATTTGACTTAGCACATTAGTCAAATCTAAGAGTTTTGATTCCAAGTGTTGAGTGTTGCTAACTTCACCAACCACTTGTGGAGAACTTCTCTTCATTTCATTTCGAGTCCCAAAGTTCCTTTGATTTTGAGAAATGGTGCCAAAAAGTGATCGGATTTCGTGAGGTGTCTTGTTGAAGATGTTACCACCACTTGAAGCATCAATCATCCTTCGATATTTTTCATTCATACCCTCATAAAATTGTTGAAGAAGTAGTTGTTCGGGTATGTTGTGTTGAGGACAACTTGTACACAAATTTTTGAATCGCTCCCAAAAAGCATGAAAAGTCTCATTCTCCCCTTGAGGAATCCCCAAAATGTCACTTTGTTGGCTTGATATCTGGGATGTGGGATAAAACTTGCTATTGAAGGCCTTGCGTAACTCTTCCCATGTATAAATAGATCCCGGTGGTAAGTTGAATAACCACTCTCTAGCTTTATCTTTCAAAGTGAGCAGGAAGGCGGTTAGCTTGAAATCATCTAATGTCACATTTTCGGGCAACATGCTAACACATATCATATGAAATGACTTCAAATGATTTTGAGGGTCTTCTCTATCCAAACCATGGAAATTGGTAAGTTAATGTATGAAACTTGACTTCAATTCAATTCCTCGGCGGTTTGCAAGATAAACAATAGCAAGAGGTGTATGAGTAACAACCGTTTCCATCATTTGTCGAAGTGTCAACTCTTGAGGGGGATTGGGTGGAAAGGGGTGATTGGGATATTGTTTCATGTAATTGGGTTGTTGTTGGTAAGGTGGATATGGGTATTGTTGGGGATTATAGATTGGTGGTGGATAAGGTTGGTAGTTAGGGTATTGGTTGTAAGGAGGTTGTTGTTGTGGGTACATTGGGTTTTGGTACATTGGAGGGTGTGGGTAATTGGGTTTATTTGGGCAATGTACTTGTTGTGGAAATTGAAAAGCATTGGTTTGAAGTTGGTTGTTTTGGTGGAATTGTTGGTTGTGTATTTGTGGGGGTTTATAATTGGGTTGGTTTTGAGGAGGGGCTTGATTCCAAGGTGGCATATCAATGAGAGGTTCTTGTTGTTGTTGTTGTCGTGGTTGTTGGGGTGGGGTATTGGCATCTTGATTGTTTGGGTTTTGGTTGGGATTGTGAGGTGGAGTGTGATTTATGGCTATGTAATTTTCAAGCGGAATGTCTTCAAGGGATTGACCAACAATTGGAGAAATCGGTTCGGTGTCGGTATCACTTGAAGTATGAACTTGATCTTCTATGTTGATTAGTGGAGAAGAGGAAGAAGCTTGAACAAGTTGTTGTTGCTTTGCTTGTTTGGCTAACTTTTTCAACCTTTTGCTTCTTTTTCAATTTCCAAATTGTAAAGTAGCTCACCGGTTCTTGTAGACCTAGGCATAAACAATCAAATAACAATAACCAATTCCCCGGCAACGTCGCCAAAACTTGGTAGGGTGTCAAGTCCACCAAGAAAATTACACCCTTTGTTTGCAAATAAAACGTAATATAATGGTAAAAAAGGGTACCGATCCTCAGGGAAATGGTTGTATTCAATTACCAATGCAATCTAAAAGAACTATTGTAAATAAACTAACTAACTACAATTAAACTAAAAGGGGGGGGGGGTGTTTGATTACTTGAAAACTAAAAGACTTGAATAACTAAAAACTTGCAATTAAGCAAGATAGTGAGATGCTCAAATATTGGAGAAGGTTGGTTAACTAAGGCAATTCAACACAATGAACATTTGTGTGTTTATCATTAGGATTCAACATGAAGCTTATCATTCATCCCAAATTGGTTATAGCAATCATGAAGCATGATATGCCAAGATTCCTCTTAGGTAGTATGGAGGTTGGGGAAGCCCACAACATACCTTCTTAATCAAGATCAAGGGTTTAATTGTAGCAATTGAACCCAAGAAGTTGATTAGCCTTAAGAAAGAAAGGATCCCCAATTCCTAAAGGATGTCAATGCTTACACATCCATAAAGGAGCTATGATTCATAAACTATAGATGATTTTTACCATCATAAAGCTCTTGTTCTATGTCAATTCAATGATTCAATACAAAACCAAAGAAATAAACTAACATTAGCTCATTTAAGTGCCAAGCTCATAATCAAAGCATTAAACAAGCATAAGAAATATGCTCTAGAACCATAAACATAAGATAATTGATAATCTAGCATGAATCCTTCAAAACCCCACAAACATTCAAAGGTTTTAACCAAAGTTAACCAATATAGAGAGTTTAGCCACTCATGGCAATATAAAAACAATCACAAAAGTCTAACTGCATAAAGAAACTACCAATATCTTGGAAAGATGAAAAGAAATGAGTCTTCAAGCTCCAAAATCGCCTCCTACAGGTCTCCAATGATGAAAAATCGAGAATGTGGCTGATGGATCTGATCCCCCCAGGTTATGGTGTGCGAAATGACCAAAATACCCAAACTGGGCAGTTGCGCGGGTACCCGCGCGATGGAAATTCCACTCGTGCAAGTGTTGTTGTAATGTTATTGGCTCTTCATTTCTCCACTCCACACTTCCACTACCAAAGATTCCTTTGGTCCCCTCCATATCCATGTGATTTAAACCAACCAATCATCATTTAGCTTCAAATATGGATGCTCCAAGCCCAAAAATAGAAGTTTATGACCCATCTTCACAAGCCCAAAATATCCAAGTCCTTAACTCTTAAGGCCCAAATCTTCTTTTATGGATCCGCCAAGCCCAACAATGCCTCGAGAGCCCACTAAATCCGACTCCAATCAACCCGCAACCGCAATGAACGTTGAAAACCTGCAAAATAGCTTATGCAAAATAAAAAGCACCCGGTACGATCCATAATAAAGAAAATAAAGAATATACAATGCAAAACTAATTAGAAAGAGCTAAAAATCTAAAATAAACTAATAAAAATAAGGAAATAAAATAAGCTATCACTTGCATAAAGAACAAATGGTTGGAGCAGTATGCTTGTTGCTATCGTCTTTTGTATTGTTCTTTAACACAGGAGAAGATAATGGAAACATAGAAACATCTTGGAGAAAGGTAGTGAGCTCTAAATGAATATACTTGTTCTCGCGTTCTCAACCTTTTAGTTGTTCTCATTTGATATATATATATATATATATATATATATATATATATATATATATATATATATATATATATATATATATATAAACGGCAAACTAACTAGTCTACTCCTAAATAACCACCTATGTCTCCATCGAGACTTGAACCCCTGACCTCTCATATGAGATGGTCACTCCATACCGCTAGACCATTGGTCCTTTAATAGAGAAGCGATTATATATAATGGATTTACAACAAATACCCCTACAAATAAGGAGATAAATAAATACAATAAATAAGATAAATACTCAATAATATTATCCACTAATAGTTTCCAATAACTTTTCAACGGATTCTCAAGGTTAAAGATGTCATTTAGATATGTACTTTTCTGCCTATCATATCAAAACCTACAGAGAAGCCACTTGTTATACTACAGAATAGTAGCTTCCTATCATCTGTTGAGTCTGATAAAAAATATGATCTTTTCAGCATCTAATAGATACCGCTGTCCAAAATTTTCAAATCCTATCACTATATATAGCCATGGAAGCAGCTTATATTACTCACAAAAGATATCACACCAAACTTACTACAATATATAGCCTCCCAAAACATCAACTGCTAGAATTTCAAGAGATGGCTATGGTTAGAGCACTGGTGAAGGAAAGGCCTGTGGTTATATTCAGCAAAAGCTCTTGCTGCATGTCCTACACCATTAAGACACTGATAAGCAGCTTTGGGGCAAATCCTAGAGTTTACGAGGTAGATGAGCATCCACAAGGGAAGCAGATAGAGAAGGAACTGAGAGGATTAGGGTGCAAGCAAATTGTGCCAGCTGTGTTCATAGGAGAGGAGCTCATTGGTGGTGCCAATGAAATAATGAGCCTTCATCTCAAGGGTCAACTGGTACCCTTGCTCCTCAATGCTAATGCCATATGGCTTTAGTCAACCATAATCAAGAATATTAAAGAAGTTGGAGTTGTGTTATATAGCTACTAAGAACAACGGATTGATGCATTCCAGTCATTAGAGCAGAAACAGCAAGAAACGTTTTCAGCCTTCATTGCTGTTCCAAGTCCAATGATAACTGCTAGAATATATATGTGCTTTCACTGCTATTTGAGAAGCAGTGAGAGATACAATGTTTTTCAGGAGTTACAGTTACTACTATTCTTAGTGTTATAATTTGATGTAAAAAGTGTGTTAATGAATTATAACGTGGTTTTCTGTCCCATTAAGATGATAATTAACGAATGAGGAAATTCCATGATTTATTACTGATCTTCATAATTTTGTTCTTGATCCAGATTTGGATAAGTAAGATCTGTAACTGAAAAGAATAAGTTCCAAAACAGGTTTTAATGAAGAAAGGTTCGTAGCAATATCATGAAGACGATTTAAGTAACTATGCTATGCATGCTAGCTATATTTGAACTTTGAAGCCGCTTTTTCTTACAAAACTTTTATCTTATCTCACCCACACCATATAAAGCGCTATATAAAGATGAAATACAGAGCTTTGACTTTTCTTTTCTCCAAGTTGAAAAATGAGACCTGCCATTCTAAAACAACAACGTACAGCCGTGATGCCAGGACTCGACTGTGTCTTATGTTAATCCACACATATATGCTTACAAACCTCACTTTTTTCAGAAAAGAAAAAGGGAAAGTTGAGCTAATATCTGCAGATTTTTATGCCAAAAGCCATGAGGATAAGATTAAAATAGTAAATCATTATGGTAAAGCAAGTTCACTGAAGGACTGAGAACTAGCAGCAAGCCTAAAAAAAGTTGAAGAGAATGGAAGAAAATAGGTTCAGCTAAAATTAATCATCAGGTGCTTTTTGCTATGCAAAAGAAATATATTTGATATTTAGGACAAGTGATAGATATCTAATTTGTATAAGTTTGTGAATGTATATAAATGTCCCTTAGTTTTTTCTATGGCCAGTTATACAAATTGATGTCTGCTGTTTATATTAAATGTCATAATTTTACTCTTGTTTTGGCTGTTGGGCTGCATGTATGTTGCTATATCAGTAAATAAAAGAGTATTTATAATACCCTATCGTACAAATTCATTGGATCAATCACCACCATCAGACAAGAAAGATGAGGGGACATATCCATCCCATACATCTATGATAGACCTCGAATACAAAAGCTAAATGTTATTGGTTTCTTCGATCAGTAAGAGCTAGTAGATGTGGCACTCACTAACCAATCAAGTTATCTTAAGAACCACTGATTAATTCCTTAAGAATAATCTGGCATTGCAAATGTCTAATTGCTACAAGTAGAAAAAGAGACATGTAGTATCTTCTTCCCTACTTGTACGGACCACATGTGTTTTATCATCTTAAATAAGCATCTAACTATTTAGAAATTCCACCTCCCTTTTGTCATTACACTTTCGGTTCACTTTAAATATTTACACATTAGAATCTTATAAAAGATAACCAGAAATCCAATTTCTATCGTTGGTGACAAAGATATATTCTCCCTTCTCCGATTATCCACATTTTTTATAACTAATGCACCACTCACACGTGCACTCTACAAAGTCCAGCCTATCGTTAGTTGTAAGAGTAATCTCAGCATCAGATAAGGTTTCTTTTAAGAACATTATCCCACTCATTTTAATTCATTACTCTTAACTCCTTATATATAGTCACGATGGGTGCTCCAATTTCTTCAAAGTAAGGTCTTCGTTCTAATAATAAGATTATCTATCTACATAAAGGCTGCTTGTATCTTTCCTCTTTGACTAGACCCTTGTTCCTTTTCCTTTCTCATAAACTAATGGCCTTGGTTACCAACTTAGGTGCTGAAAAGCCGGTGGTGATATTCAGCAAAAGCTCTTGCAGCATGTGCCATTCCATCAAGACTCTGATAGGAAGTTATGGGGCGAATGCTACTGTATACGAGATAGATGAAGACCCAAAGGGGCATCAAATGGAGAGAGAGCTGAAGATGTTGGATAGGAGTAGGCCAAGTGTGCCAGCCGTGTTCATAGGTCATGAACTGGTTGGTGGCCCTGATGAGATAATGAGCCTCCAACTCAAGGGCAAGCTGGTGGACTTGCTCAAAAAGGCAAATGCCATATGGGTTTAATTAATATATTGAAAAATCAAAAAATTACTCAACAATTCTTATGAAATATGACTACTATGGCTGAGTAATGTGAGCCTTTTAGAATATGTAATATCATGAGTACCCTTCTTATAATTTTATTATGGTTACATGTGTAATATATGTGAATCAAATAATTCTGCTATAAAACATTTGAGGCGAGTAAGACTAAAAAAAGTTGAGAACATAAGTTAAAATAAAAAAAAAAAAATCTGCCACGATTGAGATGCCTAAAACTTTATCTTATTCTCATTTGAGTACGTACCAAAATATATTCTTTTAAATTTTTGGAATCTTCGTAAAAAAGAATGCACCAATTAATGACACATGCGCACTGCTAGGTCCCTCATGGATGCATAATCTCGAAACAGTCAATGTCTTTTTCTTACAACAGTCCCTTTTTCATATCTTCCACCAAAATCAGTGAAACACTCTTGAATCAAAAAACATATACACATATAATACACACACATGCAGTGCAGTTTGGACCGCAATCTTGTAATTATAAACCGCAAACCGCACTGCAAAGTGCGGTTTAATAAAATTTCAAACCACAAACCGTACCACTAAAGTTCTAAACTGCGTTATGCGGTGCGGATGGTTTATACGGTTTATGCACAGCCCCAATATATATATATATATATATATATATATATATATATATATATATATATATATATATATATATATATATATATATATATATATATATGAATATGTGGTTGTTATGTACTTAAGCTTAAGTATAAAACATTTTAAATGACGTAGTATTAAACAAAACAAATACGATTTCATTTTCTCTTAATTTTGTTTTAATAAAATATCATTGAATTGAGTTAAATTACAGAATAAATCAATTATATATATTTTTATTGCAAAACATCATTGAAGTTTATAGGGAAAGTGAAAAATCAATACTTTTTAATGAATATAACTGAAAGGTTTTGTACTTCAATTGAAAAATTATATCAAATAATTTGTAAAAAACTTGATTGAGTTATTGCATGTTCTTCTTTTAAATTTTATTCTATTAGTTTCATTTAAAATTTAATAGGATTAGTTAAAAGGTCATTACTTTTAATGTTTTAAGTTCTTAGACACAATGAAAAAAAAATATAAATTCGATCGGTTTAGTAAGTCACATGATTAAGGAAGAATAGTACACGAGATATCATGATTAAGTTGAATATATATTAATCAAAACTACATAGTTTGGAGGGTTCTATATATAAGCTTAGGTACATAATAGTACATTCCCTAAATCCTATATATATATATATATATATATATATATATATATATATATATATATATATATATATATATATATATATATATATATGGCTTAACGAATATGTGACTGTTATGTACCTAATATTAGGTATAGAACCATCAAAAACAAAATAGTTTTAACTAAATGCAATCAAATCTCTCTATCATCTTTCTTGTATCCACTATTAGACTAGATGATACGATTTGTACATATTTTTATGGAGTTTCAAATATTTAATTTTGCATCACAAACCATGTATAAGAATACATTATTAACTACCTATAAGCCTTCATATTCAAATTTAATATAGAAAACTATAGTGAAAGATTGAGATTATTCATTACCCAATAAACTTCTTCCCATAACACATCCAAAAGAACCATGCAAATGTACATATGATAGGTGTCAATGAAAGTTATGAAGTCGACTAGAGGTCCAATATAAACAAGACATTCGAAATACATAGATGTTGGGGATACATTATTAAATTAGAAATAATATAAGCTCAAAAGCAATAGGAAGAAGCTAACAGTGAAAAAAATTGTGTTTTTTCTAATCAAAATGAAGTCAATTTTGATGGTTCTATACCTAATATTACATACATGACAATCATATATTCACTTTTCCATATATATATATATATATATATATATATATATATATATATATATATATATATATATATAGTCATCATTTAAGCTCTACTTTCCTTAGTTTTTTTTAGATAATAACCATGGTTACAACTTACAAGGTTGGCTGCTAAAAACCCACTGGTAACTTTTAGTAAGAGTTCTTGTTGCATGTCCTAGTTCCACATAATTAAGACTCTGATTCACAGTTATTTTGGTGGGAGGAGCCAACAGTTTATGAGCTAGATGTACATATTGCAAATCAGAAAGCAAGAGATCAAGCTACACACTCGAACATGCAAACTGAATCAGGAATCAAAGGTACACACATATGAAATAACTTTTGGAAGTTTTTATTCTGATGCTCTGTTAACAGCAAAAAAGAGATTGAAAATTTATATACTACTACATTGAAAGCTGAAATAAAATGCTTTAAACTAAAGAACTGAAACTGAAATACTTTACTACTTGGTTAACCACATTCACCTAATAATATGATAACCACTTATTCATCTTTAATGCATTAAAAACTGAGTTAAACATGAACCAGATAAGGATTAATTTCAACATTCTCCCCCTTAATCCTAATTTGTGTCTTTGTGTCTTGCAGGTCTTCAACACCCAACAAATTCCGCATTTCTACAAATTTGACTCGTGGTTGTGCCGTGGTTAAAATACCTGCCTTCTGTTCTTCCCCGCTTACATGCCCAATGCAGATTAAACATTTTTCAACACATTCTCAAATGAAATGATATCGGGTGGGGTGTTAATGTGCTTACTTCTCTCGTGGAATATCAAGTTATTCATCAGCTCAATTGCATATTTGTTATCTACAAGAAGCTTTACACAGCTTACATTAGAACCTGTCAGATATTTCAACAAACTCTATAACCACAAAGCTTGACATGCTGCTGAAGTCACCGCCATGAACTCGGCTTCACAAAAGGATAAAGCTACTGTTCGTTGTTTTTGTAAACACCAAGTGATTAGATTTCCTGAAAAGTAAAATGCCATCCCCGATGTACTTTTTCCCATCTTCACGTTCCCCATTGTGGTTACTATCACCATAGCCGAGTATATTCTCGTCTCCTCCTTTCCGAACACTAACCCATAGTTGATAGTCCCTTTGATGTATCGTAGAATTTGCTTAACTGCTTTGAGGTGACTTTCTCATGGTGACTCCATGTACCTACTCACGACTCCTACAGAATAAATGAGGTCTGGTCTGGTGTGAGTTAAGACCACTGTTGTCTTGTACTCTTTTCTGGTCGTCGGATTATTCACGTCGTTCGTATCATATGCTCTCTCTCATATTTGCTAGTCGCCGCCTCATCGGAGCCTGCACCATTGTTGGCTGTTGAAACTTGACCTCCAGTTCAATTGTCGTTGGAGCCTGCACTCCATTGTCTTTGTTTTTACTTTACCAATTTACCAGGTGCATACATTTGTTTCTTTCTTTTACTTTATATATCTATTAATTGATTATATATCATAGTCTAGACACTAGGGCACTAGGCAAATAGGCAATAATAAAGTAAAATTAATAAAGTAAAAATTGTTTCTTTTGAATTGATTATGACTGCACACTTCTCTACTTACTTTTCTCACATCACATTAAATTAAGATATTAGATATACATGTTGAATTAATATATACGTAAAGGTATGTATACATTATTTTATATTTATTAATTTATTATTCGTGTTGATTTTTTATAATTTATAGTTTATTATTCATTATTCTAAAGTAAATGTTGATTTATTTGCATATAAATTCATAGGAATTGTACATTGGTACATGTTGGACTAACATATATATATATATATATATATATATATATATATATATATATATATATATATGGGTAAAGTGAATATACCTAACAACCTTATATAAGCTTAGGTACCTAACCCCATAATACTACATCGGTATGTATCATATTTACATTGTAATTGCTTAAGGTTCTTAAACTTTAACCACATAACTTGATTACTTCCAAAATCTTTGGACTTTCACCAATATCTTTCTTTTACATTACGTCTTTCTATGAATACCACCTGATGGGCTTCATATCCTACCGCTACAAATGAAAGGATGTAGGAGAAATATAATGTTGAATTTCCAAAAAATTTTGAAGTAAATCAAGTTTACGGATGAAGTTTAAGAACCTTGGATGATTGCAACGAAAATTCAATGCAAAATGATGTAGTTTGATGAGGTTAGGTACCTAAGCTTATATAAGGTTGTTAGGTATATTCACTTTACCCTATATATATATATATATATATATATATATATATATATATATATATATATATTATTTTGATATGTAACTAATTTATATCAGAACTATTTTATATTATATTTTTAAAATAAAAAAATCATTTGTTTATTGTAGTGCATATCAATATGAAAAGGCAATAAACTATTTATGGGTATTTTAAAAGAAAACACTAAAATTCTGTTCAAGATTCCGAAAATCCACCGGAGACTGTTTTTGATGAAAATGCCCCCATGCTCAATGTTCCTAATATTGATAGTCGTTTCAAAAACCCTCATCTTGAAATTAATGAAATAGATCTTAATACACTAGAACGAGATCCTGGTTTGTTTAAGCAAATTTATGATTATTTGGTTAATCAACGAGATACTATTAGGCGATCATATATTAATCTTGGTCCCTTTCAAAAAAAACACTTTCTGTATATCCAAAATCAGGACTAGAAACCCATAAACGTAGTTTTCAAGCTTCTTTGTTTAAGTTATATCATTGGCTTGAATATTCAGAGAGCTTAGATGCTGCATTTTGTTTTGTATGTTTTCTATTTAACAAGCCTTTTGGAATGGGACACTATAGCCAACAAGCATTTACTATAGATGAATTTCAAAATCAGAAGAAAGTTGGTGGAAAAATTGTGCTTTTTCAGATCACATATGGACTAAGTGTACATCTTTTCACAACATTGCACAAAAACCATGTGATGATTTGTTAAACCAGGCGCAAGATATACGAAATGTGTTTGAGACATTTATAGAAGAAAATCGTAAAAATAATAGATTAAGACAGAAAGCTACTATTT